ACTTTGCATATTAAAAAATGTCTTTGATTTACAAATCAGCAAAGATTTATATAAAGAACTTAGAACTCAAAACTTTTAGTTTAGTACTCAATTCACTGCTGATAGGAGAAAAAATTGTTTTTAAAAACCTCTTTGGAAAAATTTGGCAATATGTATCAAGAGTTTCAAAAATGCTCATAATTTTTGATAATCCTAGCATAATTTATTTTCTTCTTTTTATTCTGCCTGCATTTTGTGTTAAAAAATTGAAGAAAACAGATTCTATCATGAAGAAATAACCTAAAACTATGGAGCTTCCAACAAATACAGACAGCCACTGAAATGTATTTGTCATGTAGCTTTAGGAAAATACTTTCATTAAGAAAAAAGGATACAAGGGTGAAGTATAAAAAATAATAAAACTTGCATAGAAAAGACAGAAAATACATCAAAATATTGTCAGTTACATTTACTAGCAGAAAACGCTCAATTTCTCTTCGAATTCTTTTTTTTTCTGCAGTTTCCAAATATTCTACAAGTCTATTACTATTACAAAGGAAAACCATGGAAGTTATTTTTGAAGATTATACATGTCTCAACCATTATTTACAAACTGCGTACTCCAAAAACTGTGGTAATCACTTACCTATAGGCATAGATGTTGTGAGTGGCACTAGCTATTTTCTTATTCTCATACAACTTGGCAAGAACCATTTTCACCTTGAAAACAGCAGTAATACAAATAAGCTAAAGTATGCTTTTTATTTCCTCCATTAACAGACGCTCTAAAAACAGCTTTAAGCATATTAGTATAAACATCATATTAAACAGTCACTTAAAGAGTCTATAGACTCTGAAAAGGACATTTCCAAAGTCTTCTCCTCATTTTAGGGGCAGAGACAGGTACTTTCAACTGGTATAAAAATGTCAGGTGTGGTGGTGCATGCCTGTAAACCCAGTACTCAGGAGGCTGAGGCAGGAGGATCATCATGAGTTTGAGGCCAGCCTGGGCTACACAGGGAGTTCAAGGCCAGCCTAAACTACTAG